GTGTGTGTGTAGTGTGTGGGTGGTGGTGTGTGTGTGTGTGGTGTGTGGCTGTGCGGGTGTGTGTGGCGTGCGTGCGTGCGTTGCGTGTGTGCGTGCGTGCGTGCGTGTGTGTGTGGTGTGCATTGCGTGCATGCGTGCGGGCGTGCGTGCGTGCGTGCGTGCGTGTGTGTGTGTGTGTCCATTTGATGTCCACATGACTCAAAGCTTTGCACCGATAAACGATGACAACTTCTGATTGCGGTAATTTAGCGATACCTCTACGCAAGCTACAGATGTTGTCCTGTCCGTAACATTATGCAATGTTTTGGAAAAACCTGCCATCAAGTAATAAACAGAACTGTTTTAACATCAGGAATGTCTTCATTAACTACTTACACGCAGGGTACGAAATTAAACAAAAACTCAAAAGAGCACAGAATTTCAGATTGGTAAACATCGCCGTGCGCGCGCCATACACGGCAGGACATCTGGGGTTGCTAAAAGAAGAAAGAAGTCTAGTGCTGTTCGGAAATGTTGACCGCAGAATTTGGACTCAATATGCCATAAACGACTTACCACGCGACCGAGTGGCCGGTTAGATGCCCTTCGCTTCGGTCAATTTAAACCCGCTGGGATCTCAGAAACTAAGAGGACCAGAGACGTTAAGTCCACAGGATGTTTTGGCCTGCACGTAAACTGACTTTGGTCAAATTTCGAGGATCCTAGGTAAAGTTCAAATAAGGTTAAACAAGGTCAAACTCCAAGTTTGTCTCCAAAGTGTCTCCAGAACCTAGATGCCTGTTCAAAGGCAAAAGTTCACTTGGTCACTTAAGTTCAGTGACCTTGTTTAACCTTTCGCAGGTCATGATGAACAAAATCATGCAAGGCTGCCTTGAGTTTTGCATTTGAAGAAGCGACAAAGAAAGTGCGAGGCAGTATGTTCCTAAAAACAAAATGTTGACCCGGATCATTTTAGGTCAGTGACCTATTCAGACCTTTAAGAAGTCCATGGGAGATGTCTAATGCGGTTCCTGTTAACAATACATTCGAAATGAGCACCAGAAACTACCCCATACAGCAAGCCCCAGAATGATAAAACAGATTGGTTTTTACCTTGGTCTGACATTCCTACCTGACCATAGGTCAATATAATTTTGTTATTCAATTCTTGTGTTTCCTAAGAATGTACCTCATAGATGTACGACTTTGCCTGACACTCCGTTGTTCCATCAGACCGAACGATTGCCTAGAAACTGACTTAACTGAATCTATGGCCTGACTTTGACCTGCCATAGATCAGCAGCCTTACAATCTACATCTAATGCTTGGATACCACATATTTGCCATTTAATTGTCTACAGCTATGGAAAATTTGGCGCAGCTTCACCGTGCCGTTTCAGAAACCATTCCAGAAAACTCTGAAGGGGGGGTCAATTTGACCCCCACCTGAGCGCGTGTTAAGAGCCAAAAAGTTCATAACATGTATTTGCTTATAATATCCTGTTGGTGGTACGATTTAGCTTCCTAGCGTTATTAATATCAAATACAGTTTTTGATGGTTTACCAAAGTATGCCTTTGACATGTGTTCCGAAGCCGAAACACTCCAAACAGTTAAAATAGTGGCGATTGAGCCTTTCCATCATATCTGATGCTTGCCTCAATATTTTGAAATGTGGAACGCTCCCTTCACGTTATTTGATCTTGGCCGCTTGCCCCTCATATTTACTAGCTGCTCAAATATATATGCTAATTATGGCAGAAACCTGAAAACAATTTGTCTGTTTCGTATAACTCCGTCAGCAAATCATGCAACAACCTAATTAAATACTGTGACGTTGAGGCATCTTTCATCATTTCCGTATTGGGGCTTATCTATGCTTGCTCTTATATCCGCCAGAATGTGCGGACAATGATTTTTTCCAAAACCTTGCTAAAAGTTGGTGTGAGGCTTAGCGGTTCGCAGATCTCCTGGCAACGTGGGTGATGTTTTCTTTGGCACGGGGTGATTGTTGCTCTCTTCCACACCGACAGCACGCACCCTCCACGCAATGACCGGTTGAAAATATGAGTAAGTGGTACGGAAAGTTCCACAGAAATCCTTTAGTAGCCGCACTGGAAGTTATCTAGTGGGCGCAGCCACGTTTTCTCTCAACTGCGATAGCTGAAAGGCAACTTGCCACGGCTGTATCTCAGCAGGAATGTTATCGGCAGGCAGATAGCAGAGAAGCTCTTCTGTGCGCAGCGGTCCATACGTTGTGTATATGTGTGGGAGAGTTCCTTTAACACGCGGCCGGATGGCCGATTCAATGCCCTTCGCTCGGTTCGGGGCCAATTTGACCCACTGAGATCTAAAAAAGTAAGAGAGCTCGAGATACTCAATGCACAGGGTGGGGTGGCCTCTATGGTCAGACTACAGATTTGTGTTCAAAAATGCTCCCAGACCTTGTCTTGCAACCGCATTGAACTTAAATACCCTACTATGAGAAAAAGGTAACTGATGTTCATTTAAGTTTTGTGATCTTGGTTTGACCTTTAGAAAGTCATGGTGAACATCATTTACGAGATTGCTTTGATTTCTGATCTGAATATGCGTGAAAGGTTACCCCAGACTGTAACGGTCCTAAAAACAAAATGTTGACCTCCTGGGTCCTTTTAGGCTAATGACCTACTCTGACCTGTAAGAAGTTAATGGAAGATGTCTGTTGCCGTCACTGTCATAAGTTTATCTCGAAATGAGCTTCAGGACTATATATACAGCCAAATGTCGAGCAAACATACAGGTTGACTTTTACTTCGGCCTGACCTTCATACCTGACTCAAGTTCAATACAATTGGTTGTGATGTTAAACTCAGTTGTTTTATTGCCCAAGAAACTACTTCAGAAATGTATCGATTTATCTAACACTCCGTTGTCGCATCAGTTTGAACGATTACCTACAAGCTGCCTCCGCTGACAGCCACGGCCTAACTTTGACCTACCATTGGTCAAATTGATTCTTAATATATTACGAATGTTGCAACATTTTTATAAGATTTAGCTCAGTTTTAAGACTTAATTTCAATATTAACAAATGGTGGACCTCCAGGACGGATAAGAGTAAAATGGGCTTTAAGCTAGAGCTTACCTGACCACTAGTACACGCATGCGGCAGCACTCACGGGCCTTGGCACACGCAAATTGTCGTCCAGTGCTAATCCACATTTTGCAAGATGTCTTAACCAGTCCATTTTAATGCGTAATGTGCGTTTTAATGCCATCCGCAGAACGATCCAGTGGGCACCTTCCTGCGAGGGGAGACTTGCACTGCTTTATTTCATTACCCTTTTATTTCGCGGAAGCCAGAAATAGAATCTTACAGCGTGACTTGCGTAGAGGAAGAGCAGTTCTGCTAGAACCCGAGCGTTTGGTTTTCAGCTAAGATTGTAAGGGAGTGCTCCACATTTTAAGATGTTGAAGGGGCAAAGGCATCTAATATCACTAGATCGG